GAGGACGACCTCACATCAGAAATAGGGCAGTGAGATGAAGCCTGGGTTGGTTCCCCTCTTTCCTTTACTCAGTGCACAAAGCTGGGGTCTTTGTCTTCAGCCAAAGCACACAAGGATCCCGTCCACTGGTTGGGCTTCTCATGGGATATAAAACGTTCTCAAACCCATTACCTCAAAGAACCCTAACACACTTCTATAAGGTAAGTAGGTCAGTGATTACCACCCTACAGGGCGATGAGGAAACTGACACATAGAAAAGGGAAATCAGAAGCAGGTATGTGGAGGCGCCAAGATTCAAATTTAAGTCTTTAGACAAAGATCAGCTTTCTTTCTATTGTATCTCCTTAGGCCCTTCCTCTTGAGGTGAGTTTTCAAGGCCATGCTGCAGTTTTCTCTTTCTTATTTATAAATAACTTACTAAAGCCCGACTTAAAGGCAAGCAGGTGGGCAGCAGTGGGATGAGGCATAGTATAAAGTTGAACAAGCATGCACTTGGAGTCACATCATCTGGATTTAAATCCTGACCTTTATGACTTCTTTATGTGTAAAATGGAGGACAGTAACAATACCTGCCTATAGAATTGTTGTAAATATTACATTATTTTAAATTTAATTTAATTTAATTAATTTATTTTTGAGACAGAGTCTCACTTTGTCACCCAGGCTGGAGAGCAGTGGCACAATCTTGACTGACTGCAACCTCTGCCTCCCGGGTTCAAGGTATTTTCCCTAGTAAGCAATTTTCATCCTGAGTAGCTGGGATTACAGGCACTCAGCACCATGCCCAGCTAATTTTTGTATTTTTAGTAGAGATTGGGTTTCCCCATGTTGGCCAGGCTTGTCTCAAACTGCTGACCTCAGGTGATCTGCCTGCCCTGGCCTCCCAAAGTGCTGGGATTACAGGTGTGAGCCACTGTGGCCAGCCTAAGATTACATTAGATCTACATGTAAAGTGCTCACATAGCATGAGCCACAATTGAAACCAGTTGCTGTGGTAAACACCTCTAGACCCAGTAGGGAAGCCGAGGCAGGAGGACTGCTGGAGCCTGAAAGTTCGAGGCTATAGTGTGCCAATATCTGGTCTGTGAATAGCCACTCATTCCAATCCACCTTAGCTATTATGAAAATGAGAAGGTGCGAAGAGTGTGATTTCATGGGCATAGAGAAAGTTCTCCCATGTCCCAAATACTGGTTGAAGATTCAATTCAAGATGACTTACACCAGATTAAAAGGCAAACACGATGATATTCTGTCTAAAAAGAGGCCCAAAATTACATGCCATCGCCTTTACTCTCCCATTGTGAACTCCTGGGGAGCTGTGGGATTGGCTGAGTGGATGCTGCCTGCCTATTATCAGAACTCTTTGCCCTGTGCCATCTCATTGGGAGCTAGGTAGCCTATGGGTGGGATGTCCTGGAGTCAGGTGCTAGCTTCAGTTAAATCAGAGGCCACCCACCTGTGGAAATTCATCCTATGGCTTTTCACGGAGCAGGGGCGTTTCCCTGCACCGGGTCTTGGTGGCTGATGAGAAAACCTTAGTTTTTGAGACAATGAGAAAAACTGGTTGAAGTCCTTTTATTTTTTTTTCCTTAATTTTTAAAGTTTAAGGTTGGGCACTGTGGCTCACACCTGTAATCTCAGCACTTTTGGAGGCCAAGGCAGATGGATCATTGGAACTCAGGAATTCAAGACCAGCCTGGGCAACATAGTGAGACCTGCCCTCCATCTCTATTAAAAATACAAAGATTAGCAGGTGTGGTGGTGCACGACTGTAGTCCTAGCTTCTCAGGAGGCTAAGGTAGGAGGATGGCTTGAGCCCCGGGAGGCAGAGGTGTCAGTGAGCAGAGATCAAGCCACTGCACTCCAGCCTGGGTAACAGAGTGAGATATTGTCTCTCTCTTTTTTGTTTGTTTATTTGTTTGTTTTGTTCTTTTGAGGAAGAGTCTCATTCTATCTCCCAGGCTGGAGTGCACTCACTGCAACCTTTGCCTCCAGGGTTCAAGTGATTCTCCTGACTCAGCCTCTGGAGTAGCTGGGCTTACAGGTGTACACCACCACACCCGGCTAATTTTTTGTAATTTTGGTAGTGACGGGGTCTCACCATGCTGGCCAGGCTGGTTCTCAAACTCTTGACCTCGTGATCTGCTCACTTCTGCTTCCCAAAGTGCTGGGATTACAGGCATGAGCCACCGCGCGCCTGGCTGAGACCTTGTCTCAAAATAAAATAAAATAAAATATAAAAATAAAATGAAAACTTTAAGTCATTCATCAATTTTGTGTATTTACTATTTCTTTTCCCATTCCATAAAGTCTGCAGTCATACAACAGAAAGGAAAATCAAGACAGCCACATATAAATAAAGGTGCAAAGTCGAGGCAAGAGTGGACCTTAAGGGGCAAGAGGAGTTCATCGCTGAGCTTCTCATATAGAGCTGGGCTTTCTGGAAGCCAGAGTGAAATATCAGAAAATAGGAAGCACACCGTTTTTTCTCATACTAAAGCAAGGGCTTTCCAAGCTTTGAATTCTAAAGTAATTTCTTTTGTTCTTTCTTTTTTTCTTGCTCTCATGCTTAGGTTGGAGAGGCAGTGGCACAATCAGGGCTCACTGCAAACTCTGCCTCCCAAGCTCAAGCCATCCTCTCCCTCAGCCTCCCAAATAGCTGGAACTACAGGCGTGCACCACTACGCCTGGCCAGTTGTTTGGCATGATTTGTAGAGACGGGATTTTGTCATGTTGCCTAGGCTAGTCTCGAACTCCAGAGCTCCAGCAATCTGCCCGCCTCGGCCTCCTATAGTTCTGGGATTTCAGGCATGAGCCACTGTGCCTGGACTAAAGTAATTTCTTACTTGAGATTTTATTTCAGGCTACTGTGTCATGAACTGGGCAGGACAGCCTGGTGGGTGAGAACACAGTGTTTTTTTATTTTTTTGTCTGCTGGGGTTTGGGTTTGGATTTTGTTTTAATATGAGCAATTTATTCTGTGCTTCACTTTCTTCATCTGTAACATGGAGATAACGGTGTCTACCTATTAGAGTTGTGAAGATTCAACTAGTTGAGTTGTAGAAATAAATGGTAGCTGTTAGTTTTTTTGTTTATGTTTTTTTTTTTTGTTTTTGTTTTTGTTTTTTGTGACAGTCTTGCTCTGTTGCCCAAGCTGGAGTGCTGTGGTGCAACCTCAGCTCACTGCAACCTCTGCCTCCTGGGTTCAGGCAATTCTCCTGCCTCAGCCTCCTGAGTAGCTGGGATTACAGGCTCCTGACACCACATCCCGCTAATTTTTGTATATTTAGTAGAGACAGGGTTTCACCAAGTTGGCCAGGCTGGTCTCTAAAACCTGACCTCAGCTGATCCACCTGTCCTGGCCTTTCAAAGTGCTGGGATTCCAGGTGTGAGCCACAGCACCCAGCCAGCTGTTAATAGAGAAATTCGACTGCCTACTACTTAGCACAGTTAGGTGCTGGGGAAATAGTGATGAACAAGACAAACAAGATCCTTATCTTCAAGTAGCTTTAACATTCTAGGGGAGGAAAAAGACAATAAAGGTTGAAAATAAATTTCAGAAAGTGCAATGGAAAAAACTTTATAACAAATGCAGGAATAGATTTCATTTGACTAGTTCTTCCAGTTGCCAGAAAAGTCAAGGCTAGAATGTTAAAATTCAACTCAGAGGAGGAAGATCTGTTAGGGCCTAAGGTAATGCAATCCTGGTTTGTGGAATTCTGCAGGCTAGTGTGGGTAGTTTACAATTTTGTTTTTGTTTTTGTTTTTAATTTTGTTTGAAAAGTCACTTCTTCCTGCTGAGCTTTTGATTAGGAGCTGAAGTTGAATCAGTTTGAAATTGTATTCTGGACTGAGCACGGTGGCTCATGCCTGTAATCCCAGCACTTTTGGAGGCCGAAGTGGGGAATTGCTTGAGCCCAGGAGTTCCAGACCAGCCTGGACAAAATGGCTCATCTCTACAAAAAATACAAAAGTTACCTGGGCATGATGTTGTGTGCCTGTAGTCCCTGCTACTCAGGAGGCTGAGGTGGGAGGATCGATTGAGCCCAGGAGAGGGGGTTGCAGCGAACCAGGTGCCACTGCAATCCAGCCTGGGTGACAGAGCCAGACTCTGTCTAAAAAAAAAAAAAAAAAAGAAAGAAAGAAAAGAAAAGTAGTATTCTGAATACAACTTCTAAAACACTATATTTACTTACATTATATTAAACTTGTTTACCATGATCAAAATGGTAGGTGAAAGATGCCAGAACTTTTCTATCAGGTAAGTAGAGTAAGCCATGTCTCGCCCAGGGTTAGAGAGCTTGGAAAAGATCCCTCCTAAATAAACCTGTAGGATCACCTTTGGCTTTCTTCCAGCTTTTTTTGGTCATCGCTTTACCTCCGCCCATTTCCCATCTGTCTAGCCCATCTTTCTCCGCTGGGCTTTTTTTTCTTTTTCTTTTCTTTTTGCTCTTGTTACCCAGGCTGGAGTGCAATGGCGCGATCTCGGCTCACCGCAACCTCCGCCTCCTGGGTTCAGGCAATTCTCCTGCCTCAGCCTCCTGAGTAGCTGGGACTACAGGCACGCGCCACCGTGCCCAGGTAATTTTTGTATTTTTAGTAGGGACGGGGTTTCTCCATGTTGACCCTCGGCCTCCCAAAGTGCTGGGATTTCAGGTGTGAGCCACCGCGCCCGGCCCGCGCCCGGCCTTTCACTGGGCTTTTTTGCTAGCCTCTGCCTAGCCGCGGGTATTAGTCTGGACTGCAGTCCCGCCCATCTCCTGGAGCGTGACCACCTGTCCAGTCCGCCCCCGTCCAACAGGGGAGACCCGCCTCCTTTCCGGACACCCCCCGCTCAGCGCCCTAGCGTGCGCGCGCGTCCCCGCTTGTCGCCGGGCTCCGCGTCGAGAGCGCGCTCTGTGCGGCTGCGGCCGCCATGTTGTTGTGGTTGTGAGAAGGCGGCGGCGGCGGCGGCGGCGGCTGCGTAGTAGCTGCGGGATGAGACGCCCAGCGGCTCAGGTTGCTGCTCCGCGCCGGCTCTGGCAGGGAGCCTGGTGGGGTGGCGGAGGAGGAGGCCGTGCCGTGGCGGACCTCGCCGTGTCGCGCTGCCCGGTAAGAAGCCCACCCCGTCCCCTGTCTCCTCGGGAGGTGAAGAGGCTGGAGGAGGGGCGGCCTCGGCCTTGGCCCGGGCCAGGCGGCTGTCACCCTCGGAGGAGGCAGTGGCCTGGAAGGGCTGGGGACCGCGTGCGGGGCCCGGGGAGGGGCGTCCCGGGCCATCGCCGCCGCCAGGGGGTGGCGCTGGGAGAGGGAGTGGAAATGGGAGCTCAGCGGCCAGCTCGGCCGGACCCTAGGTGCGGGGAAGGCGGGGTCTCGGGCTCTGGCTGCCCTCCCGGACCTGTCGGAGATGGGCCCGTGCGGCTCCGGGTGTGGGACGTGCCCCAGGAGCGCCCGGGGTTATTCCCACGGACTCCCGGGAGGTGAGTGTGTGCCCTTCACCCCCTGCCGGTCTGTGGGGCTCCGTCGTTGCCAGAGACTGGAGGTCGGGGGTCACGGGAGCCCGGGGCGCATGGCGCAGGCCTGGGCCTTGTGGAAAGGAGGAGTGACCGCCTGATGGTGCAGCAGGACCTCCTCCTGACCTGGTAGTACTTAGGTGGGAAGGATGCTGGGACAGTTTTTGCTTCGCAGCTCCAGGAACACTGGTCGGACTGCTCCGCAATCGTTTACAGTGTTATTTCTCGGGAGACATTTTGCTGTTGTATGGCATTTCCGGACCCATAAGATTATATTGTCGGTAGTAGTTGGGACTGGAAAACTTAATGTCGAAATTAAGGGGCAGAGTTTATGGTCACATTAATAGACTCCCCTGGAGTTTGATAATCTCACTTGTGAGTTTTGCACATGGATTACTTTTAGGTATTGATATTCAAATTCAAATGTCCTTTCCAGACCCAGCCCTAAATTCTTACTGTTCTAGTATCTTGATATCCACTTTGTTTTCTGACATCTTTTTTTTTTTTTTTGAGACGGAGTCTTGCTCTGTCACCCAGGCTGGAGTGCAGTGTGGCAAGATCTCGGCTCACTGCAACCTCCGCCTCCCTGGTTCAAGCGATTCTTCTGCCACAGCCTCCCAAGTACCTGGGACTACAGGTGAGCACTACCATGCCCGGCTAATTTTGTATATTTTAGTAGAGATGGGGTTTCACTATATTGGCCAGGCTGATTTCGAACTCCCTGACCTCGTGATCCGCCTGCCTGGCCTCCCAGTGTTGAGATTACAGGCGTGAGCCCCCACACACCCTGCCTGGACATCTGTTTTTTCACAACCAAACCAAACCAAACCAAACCCCAAAACCATATACTTTCCTAGTTGAGGTTCAACTTTCTCATATGTGGATGATACCATGAGAGGCCTGGGTTGAATTATAGGAGATGATTTTTCTTTAATGTCAAATGTCCACGGAGAGGTGGTGGGGACCATACCCTTTAAGATTCAGGGCTGTTCAGTAGGACAGGAGACATTGATGGGATGCAGAAAGTTTTCCCTCTATAGGGCCTGTGACTTGGGTAGGCTAGAAGAGCTTACAGAATGATATATATATATATATTTTGAGACAGAGTCTTGCTCTGCTGCCCAGTCTGAAGTGCAGTAGTGTGATCTCTGATCACTGCAACCTCCGCCTCCCCGGTTTCTAGCAATCTTCCCACCTCAGCCTCCCAAGCAGATGGGATTACAAGTGTGGGATACCACGGCCGGCTAATTTTTGTATTTTTTAGTAGAGACCGGAGTTTCACCATGTTGGCCTTGCTGGTCTGGAATTCCTGACCTCAAGTGATTTGCCTGCCTTGGCCTTCCAAAGTGTTGAAAGAACAGACATGAGCCCCCAGCCAGAATGAGGCTGTTTTGAGACCCGTATAGTATGTGATATTAAACTAAATTTGG